GACCGGGCCGATGGTCAGCCAGCAGCCGACCGCCCGGCCACAGCGAGCCGGCGGTCCGGCCAGAAAATGAACCGGCCGGTTTAGACCGGTTTTTGGGTTGTTCAATATCTACTGATCCGGTCCGAGTCCAGTACGGTATTTCAGTTAATTTTTCAGTCCAGTCAGTCCAGTACACCGGTATCAGTTCAGTCCGGTTTTTCTTATCAGTCAAGTTAAGTCCCGAGAATATTTCAGTTAAAAATTTAGATCGAGTCGATCATCTTAACAGTTATTTTCAGTCAGTCTGAGCGTAGTACTTAGTATTTGTTTATTTATATATTTTTACAGAGTTATCAGCAGCAGCACTTACATTATCAGTACAGGTGGAAACTCAGACTGGGTATTACATTGGTTATAATTGCTTTATCATGTTTTAAGGTATGTATATCAGTTATTCCACTTTGGGTGGAGGCGCAGTAGCCTTAATTGCCCATCCAGAGTTCTGGTGGAGGCGCAGTAGCCTTAATTGCCCATCAGAGTGTGCACATGGCCAGTTCAGTACAGACCTCGTGTCTGGAGTTTACAGATTACAGTTTATTTATATATACCTGCAGTCATGATATTGATATTATTATTAATGTTTATTTCAGTATGAGTTTCTGCGGAGTACAGTGTTTTTAGTACTCACGCTCCCACTATTATGATTCTTTTTCAGGAGACAGGGTCGGTCCGGAGGAGTGAGTGGAGCTGGTGGTCGTCGGTCCAGTACATGTAAATATGTATATATTTTTGCAGACTGTTGATATGTATATATTTGCCACGTTCTACTTCTGCTGACGTTTTCAGACGTTCAAACTAGCGTGTAAATTTTCAGACGATGATCCGAGCTTTCGGGTCTAGTTTTATACAGTATCACACGCTTGTTTTATAATGATAATTTGTTTTTCATAAATGGGTTTATAGTTAACGGATTTTTAGAAAAGAAACATTTTGTGTAGCATCCCGAGATATGTTTCGCAAAATAAAACGTAAACTTTAGAAAAGGATTTGCGAAAATCGCACTCTGATTTTAGTAAACTAGCGGGGTGTTACACTTTTGGCCAATCTCGTACACATGATGGCCGGTATTTTGGACTCGTAGGCTCCTCTAGCATGTTCTCCAACCATATGTTGAGATCGTCACCTCCTTCATCCTCCGACTCGCTTGGGTTGATGACCACTTCCGTATCATTCCCCTCCTCTTCAAGACTTTCCTTGTCCTCAAGGATTAGAAAATTCAGCGCACCTTCATCTTCATGGTCTTGAGCATCGATCACCATTGCTTCTCGGGCTTCTACGAGTTGTCGCTCGTATTCTTCTATGTTCCTTCTCTCATGAAGCTCATCTAGATATGTTTTTCCCCATGGTGTGAGCTCTCTTTCCAAACCCTCCAACATCTCAAGATCTTCCCAATCTAACTCATCCATTGGTGGGTAAGACATATTTTTGTTTTTTACTCTTAAAATTAAAAAAAAATCGAACCAAAAAATAATTCCAAAAACAAAACAAAATTTCAGCCCCTCAACAAAAGGTAATAACCGAAAAAAAACAAAGGACTAGATGACACTTTTTTTTTTACTCACGAAAAATATAGGGGAAAAATTCGAAAAATTCGAACCCCCAAAACAAAAATCGAACCAAAAGAAAGAAGAGAAATTCGGTCCCTCAGCAAAAGGCAAACCGAAAAAAAAGATAGGATAGACAAAAATTCGATCAGCACCTCTCAACAAGAGCACCAATGATGACGGATCGGATTTTTATCTATATGGGGGTTGTGAATAATCGTGCACTCAGGGCCTTCGTGTAACACCCCGACTTTTTAATACTATCAGAGTACGCAATTTTTCGTAATTTTTTGAATAAATAAATAAAATACTTATTTTGCGAAAACTGATTCGGGATGCTACCGTGAAATATTTAATTTTTCTGAAAACCGTTAAAATTTTAAACTGATAATTAAAAACGGTTATAACGTCTTATCCGACTAACGTCGGAAAAAAACTGATAATAAGTACTGAATGTTTTTGCGGAAGTCACATGTGGCAAAACATATATACATTTAATCACAAAAGTCCTGAACAACACGCCCGCTTACTCCTCGTCTCCGACCCTGCGCCCTGAAAAACATGAAAAATGTGGGGCGTGAGCACTAAAACACTTGTGCTCAGCAGAAACTCATACTAATGTAAACATTGTAAATAATAACAATATCATGAACTAAGCATATATAACTGAACTGAAACTGAACTGATATCTGATACAGGTCT